TTTTCAAATTATCATGGCTATTAGTTAGAAAGGGTGTTATCAGATCTGTCTAGCAGGCCAAATAAAAAAGGCAGTGAAGAAGTGCAAGTCCATTGTGAAACAGTCTCTATTTCCTCTGCCAGGTAAAGCTATAGTCTGGTCAGTGCGAAAGTTTTTCTATGAGAGGGCTATAGAATGTTGGCTAAATAACTAGCATAGGAGAACGATTTTTCCATCAAGCCTATCCCATATAAGGAGGATTCTCATGGAGGTCTCTCTGGAAATCATTATCAAGGACACACCATAAATGAATGACACATGAGACAGCCCGCATCACCAATGAGTTTGAAAACATATTCCAAAATCAGAACACAATATTATGTTAATTCTCTTTCCTCAAACAGTGGGAAATCCATGCTGCCTAATGAAAATAACTTTATAATCCAGGTGGTAGAAGGTTGGTAAAATCCATGCTGCCTAATGAAAATAACTTTATAATCCAGGTGGTAGAAGGTTGGTAAAATCCATGCTGCCTAATGAAAATAACTTTATAATCCAGGTGGTAGAAGGTTGGTAGGCAAGATGGAGCTACAGGGATAATTCTCTGGGCGGCACAGAGATTCATCTGAATCTCTTTATGCAACCTGAATCTCTTGATGCTAAAAAAAAAAAAAGTATGAGGGGGTCATGCTGCATCATCAGGAAGAGCCTCATCTGGAGGTACCTGTGTTGGTCTCTTCCTGAGGTAGAGAGATTCTGTGGATAACTGTATGAACTAAAGCATAACATCTTTATGTATTTCTTTCAGGGGAACCAGTCTAGTGCAAAGTAGCTTGCTATGCTACAGTGGTCATGTGGAGAAATGCACCATAAAGGTGTTGAGAAAGCCATTATGACTGTGGCTTCCAGTCCACTAAAAGAACAGAGAGCAGCTCTGCCCTGTGTGGCTTTTTTTGCCAAGTGGAGCAATAGCTAATTTGTTTCAGCAAGAATCTGGCTGGACATCTAGTTAATTTTAATACGTATTTTAATAACTAGTGTGTTAATTTAAAAAAAAAATCTAGTGAGTTGCTTTGGGGGTCCCAAGACTGCCTGTGGGAAGATGATTCATGATGATGAGACAAAACTCTGCCCTACAAGAGCTTCCCTTTACAGCTCCCTCAAGCCTATCCCTTTGGAGGGCATTAAAATCCATTGGAGTTGGGTGGCCAATACATTTAAATAAATAATGTAATAATTTATGTACTGTACCCCTCCCAGAATGCTACTCCGACTGACAGTTCTCAATGGCAGAAGGCTTTGCACAACCTTCAGCAGCAACAGAGAACAAGATGTTTCCTGTGACCTTTGAACGCAAGCCATCTCCCTACATCGATTAGTCGGTGGGGTCAGAATGACTTCTCGACACGGCTCATTTTCCAGCCACTCGCACGGACAGTTCACGCGTCTAAGGTGAACGTGGACAAGAAGGCGTCACCCCAACCGCACACGCTTCACCTTTCAACGGTGGCTCCACCGCCAGCGGCAACACGCCAGAGATCGCTTTTCCGGAGCAGCCACTGCTCCGGTTTCTCTCGCCGGCCCCCCCACCTCCGCTCCTCGCCCGCCCGGACTAAGGCCAGGCGGGTGCCCCACC